AATTACCACATAAATAGTTACTTTCTTAACACTAAATAATTGTCTACTTACATAATCTTTGAAATTATGTTGTTTATGCTTATACTTTCCATCTATAAATTGAAATAATTGTGAAAAGTATGTTCAGATACCATTTGGTAACTTATAATTGATGTATTTAGAATGTACGCAGCTGAAGAGGGAGAACCTACGAAATAAAACGAACTCGTATAATCCTGCAAATATGTTCACTCTTTCGCTACTCAAACCAGTAAAGGACACCAGCTGTATGAAATACCATGTAATGACTGTGAGGTCAACCACATAGGTCAAACTAGTAGATCGGGAACATAAAACTTTATCTAGGCCTAGAATCTAGGACCACCTCTGAAAAACTGATGTCCTTTTACAGTAAGTATGGTATTATTGGACTGCTGTATACTATTCTGAATACTTAGGTTAGCTCAATGTTACTCATAAAAACTATTTTACTTTTAACAGTACAAAGATCATCCAAGGTGGATTAGACTTTACAATTCAATAAGGAGTAATGCTGTAAAAAGTATTGAGAGTTAAGAACTTTAAACTGATGAAGCATAGTTAATAGTGAATAAATAAATAAATAGTCAGTTTGCTTGATTTAACTTGGTTCAAAATTATTGTTGAGATGTTTAATTTAATAACACACTGATTTTCAAGCCTCTCATACAACAGCCTACTAACTGTTATTCTGTCAGTAATTATACTTAGGTTTTTATGAGTCAGTAAAACTCTTACTGTGGTTACGCTAGTTATATCTGTGATTATTATTATTATTAATGGTTGTACTTAGCGCTATTGCTCTGTTTGTTAGACACTTAACTAAGCCAGCCTTTACAGATAACAAATGAGACTAATTAAAGTCTAAATATCTATTAGAATGCGTTGGCTTTTTATTAACGCAAGTGTGCAGTTTACCTCCTTCTGTTCGTTTTATTTTACAAGGTAACACCATAGCTAATTCTCCTTGTTCATTTTCTGATTCAAATGTGAATTTTATTCCCTCTACTAGTGAGCTTATGTGTGTGAAGAAGCTAGAGATATGTTCTGTTTTTAACACTGTGAAAGTGTCATCCACATATCTGCACCATATCTTTTCCCAGATATCCATAAAGATATCTGCTACGATTGGGGATATTGGTAATCCATTCCATTGCTACACCTTCTGTTTGTCTGTATATTTGCCCTGGAACTTAAAGATAGCATACATGATACGTGTGCGTTGGGGGTTCAGTGGTAGAGTGCTGGCCGACCATCTGAACTGAACATCAAAACAACTGATTCACGCATCTAGAGGTTTATACACCTCAATCAATGTTGAATACATTTTCACTACTCATGCATACCAATAAGGTAACTGGTGATAATTGAGAGATATTTGCAGGTCAGTCCAGCTTCTAAGAACGGTGAATAGTCATAGCTCAGTGTAACAATCCCTTGAAAGTAGTTTCCCTCCCTGATGACACTGTGTGTTGGTTGGGTTGAACCATATTGATTAAAATGGCATTTTATCATCTCCTTATCGGTAAACATGACCATATATTCTCCTTATGATAGGTAGGATAGTGCCTACAGAAATCATACTTCATAAAATTTTTTCTACATAGTCAGTGTGTGTGTGATTGTACCTTCATCCGAAAATGATTTGTCGAAGGACAGATCCTCCACCATAGTGTCCTTTGAGTAATTGTGCCGTCTAAACACGACCACCTCTAAAGTACGTGAATGTTTATGAGATTTAAAACTGTTCAATCAATCAATTCGTATATGGTTGAGAAGAAAATCACTGAAATGTAAAGAATCGATCGTATTTCACCCATCTATCCATGTTATTTGAAACGTTTGAGTCTGTAAAGTTGAACACACACGAACTCTTACTTCGCTCAATGCTTTTAAGTTTCAACATTTTAAATTCCATGCAGATTGGCATATCAGAGATATTCATTTCAGTAGTAGTTTTGTGATTATTTGAGTTGGTAAACTGACTGAGTGAAGAAATCCAGTGATGTTGTTTCATCGATTTTCTATCGACTAAACTCTCTACATTCTTCAAGTTTTTTCGCAGTGTGCTATTCCTACTCTTTTACAACTTGTGTGATATCTGCACGTATTCGTAAGTATGATTGAAGCGGACTGATTTTCCTGTCAATGACAACTAGATAAAACTTCTAGCAGGCGTTGAGAGAATATTGGGAGGCTTGAAAATTGTTTAGACGTCTGTGTGTTTATACTTCACAAGTATGATTCAAATGGAAACTCGATTTTACAAAATCCTCTGAAATATGGGGTAGTTTTTCTTCATTGAGTATTTCGTCAAGGCAAACTAATGAGACACTGTCTGTAAGTACTAATGCCAACATGGTGACTTCCCCTCTATACAAAGATATTTAAAATTCCATATGAACACATCTGAATATTTCGGAAGTGTGACAAACCATCTCACCTTTCCTCTTTACTCATTCATGATAGTTTACGACTCTGATCAGCCTGTGTTCGAGCACATTACAGAGACTATTCAACAGTAGATACATGATTTCAATCCTTGTCTGATCTCCTGAAAATTTCTCATCAGATCTAATTACCGATGAATTGATGTTGTTAATTGACCTTCTATAGGTAGGCGTTTATTCCACAACTGACTTTAGCGTATTCGATGTATGAGGTACCTTTTCCACTTCATTATTTGGTAATACAAAATTGTCGTAACAGAGAGAATATATCGACGAATAATAGCCAACTTGAAGTTTGATAAGCTCCTTATTGTTCATTTCTTGTTTATATCTCACGCAGTTTTGACCACTTGAAACACTTATTGTATTGGTTAAAGGATGGATATTCTGCCGATGACATCGGTTGCAGTCAGTGATTCTATACAAATTAGAAACCTGCGCTGAGCGTCATGAAAAACATTTCCAACAAGCCACTGCAGACTTTTATCAACAGGTGCCACATTCGCTAGCTGCCTGCCTTCATACTGAAGATCAAATGGCCGACCGGCTGGCCAGAAATAATTGGCAAGAAGAAACTTTGGCTGGCAACAAACTAACTAAGAGCCAACTGCTCAACAAATATATAAGAGAAAATGGAGATGGATTGGGCATACTCTGAGGAGACCGCCGAATGACATCACACGCAATGAAGGTCAGCACTAGAGTGGAATCCCAATGGGAAGTGACGAATGGGTCGTCAGTGTGTGGGTGACATGGAGGAGATCATGTGGTGAGGAAGAGATGAGAGATTAGAGTCAATCGCGGACCCAGATGAAGAGGACAACAGAAGATAGAAGAAAGTGAAGATGTGTTGTTGAAGCCCTATATTCCACTCGGAACCCAAGGGAACAATAATATAATATATAATAACAGAGTGGAATTATAAGAAAAGTAATATACTTAAGTGGGGAGGGAAGGGGTTAATCACCGCACCCTCGTTTCTCAAATAAACTGAGAATACGTGTAATAGGAATTAAGCAACACTAGTCGTGGACTTGTAGGAAATTGCATGAATAAACACGAGAGAGCAGGAAACTATAGTCATGTGGAAATCTTCATAAAATTATAGGGAACAAATAGTGCTCGAGGCATCATTCAATTACTATATAGTATATAATATAGTATGTTATATCAAATAAACTCATCTACTATGGAATTAAATTTTACCAATAATGTTCAAATCCAATCGTTATATATTAGATGTGAAGTAAAACCGTTCACAGAAAAAATATTTCTCAATCACCAGCCAATGTCATGAGCGAACAACAGCCCTGCCCTACCCTCTTACTGGACCCCGCAGGAAACGACTTCTCAACAGAACTTAAGGTGACTTCCTGTATAGAGCCAGTTACTAGTGAGCATCTGATTAATTAGCAAATGTTGATTTTTAGGGACTTAATTGGTCACAGGTTTGATTACCAGCTGATATCAGTTAGAGAATCATTGGAAAACCAGGAAGCACTGGACAACTGTATCGTTCTAGTTTGAGACTCCTCATCGGGGTTTGAATCCAGGATAGTCCACCAACAAGATGAGCTCGTAGTGCCTTCAAACACATACTTGGTATATTATAGGCGCCAGGAGACACATCATACAAAATTTCATAGTTTGTGAGAGGGATGAGACGCTGTCCGAACGCGCAGACCAAAGCAGGCAGTTATCTTAAGGAGCCAGTCGTGAACATATGATTTGAAGTCTGATTCACAAGGTAGTAGGGCAGCGTTTCCATGGTCCACTGACCATTCGATCCGCTCGGACTCTGGAGCCGACGTACACTATAGGTCTGTGTAGGTATGGAATCAGAGTTTTTCAGCTCTTCTCCCTAGATCCACCTAAATGTTTAACACCGGTTTGGTTGTAAGCGGCAGAAATTCGAATTCATCCCTCCCCCGGCTGTCACATGAAGGCAGTAGATAGGACCTACCTCACAGAGGCTATGAAGGCGCACGTGGCCCCACATAACAGAGCACTTCGACAGGAAGGTCAAAATCTACCCACCCACGTCGTTTATGAAGGAGGGAAAACATCCATAAATAATGCATAAACATAATTCAATTTCAATCACACAACAATATAAGTATAGTATATATGTTCAGATTAACAAATAAAATGTCTGCTTGTGCTTATTTCAACATTCAAGTAATACATCATGATAGATAGATAGATAACAAGACAAAACAATAAATGACAGAGAAATGGGAACATAGAATGACATTCACCTGATGTAGTTATTGATTATCGGCGTCAGTGATTGTAACGCGAAAACACACAAGATTATTCATGTTTCATTAAGTGATCACATTGATATATCACAATTGTTATATATATTTATGTTGAAAAAAGAAAGCACACTCGGCAAAAGAAAAAAACGTCAAAATCGAAACGTCAAAAAACAACAAAATTAATCATTATAGCATACATTATGTGAATGCTTGTCATCGCCATCGCCATTATCAAATGTTACAATGCATAAATTGTTTAAGCAAACTAGGCGGATAATGGAACGTTTACCAAAAATCAGACAACAGCAACAACAATAAGAGTTATGATTTTGATAAATATGAATGATAAGAGGTAAGTAACATTATTCAAATAATATAAATAAATTTTTGATTACGTAATCACCGTCTTTTTTTCATATTGTTCACGGAAAAGCATGAATACTGATGATAATAATAATAATAATAACGACAATGATGGGGAATAAATTATACTCGTAGTGAAATGAAACATGATGAACAGGGGAACAATAAGAAATAGGCGAGGCGAGGGGTACACATATATATGTATAGATATCGAAAGAAAGGTGAAGAGATAATGAAAACAAAGTGTATAAATTCATTGTAATGGTGATTTCTGTTGTTTGTTTTTGTTGTTTTTTTTGGTATGTGATGGTATGTATGAACTCTGCCTTCTTAGGATTGATTTAGGAAGGCATTGAATAACAACTCTACACTAATTAATTAATTCATTCATTAATCAATTAGTCTCTGCTACCGAATAATGATAGAATCATAAGGAATAAATTGACCACATCCATGTATAATTGTAAAGCACCGTAAATATACTCCTCTGCACCGAGTTCTTGTTCTCGTCCACCCATAATATGTTGTGTATCGAAAGCCAAATACTAAAACAAAAAATATGAGAAAGGCGAAAAGAGATTTGATTATTACAACTTACTTTTGCATTTAGTGGGTCGGTGGTGGTAGGCGATGATAGAATGTGCTTGCCAATCACATCCCACGTGGTTGGTAGGAGAGTTCGATTCCTTGCCGACACACTCACATAAACTTTCCTCAGTCGGTAAGTAAGTTCGGTTTGAAAAGAAAGTTAGGCATGAGGCTGGTAATGCAACCCAACCCCCCCCCCCCCCCCATGAGAACAAAATTACCACTACTGAGACTAAACAACTCATATTTGAAGCCCTGTGATCCCAAAACCCAACCGATAGCTGCTATCTTGACATGGTAGTCAAGCTTGCATATTGCAAGGACCCAACAAGCTACACTGGCTGGAACTACCATGCCAGGAAGGTAGCTAGGATAGCGATTAGACTAAAAGCAGTTACAGCCATAGTGTAAGAATATTTTTTACACTATGCTGGGCGTCTGTGAGCGAAGTCGTACTGCCGGGGAACAGGGATGTAACATAAGTAAAGTGTTTCCCTCAGATGACCAGCATGCCAACCAACTATGCTGTCTCTCCAATCTGGAGAGAGGGGGTTAGAAAAGGTCGACCCCAAAAATTGTACATCCAGACTTACCCTACGGTCTGTCTGTCTGTTTTCGACATAGAACTTTGCACCGATGTGCGGCAGTTCAAGTCGCCACAATCCATGTAGCACGCAAAGCAAGAGAAGGAAGTAGAAGAAATGCAAAATATAGACAGTAAACAGAGGTGTGAGACAAAGGAATAGTAATAACGGAGAACAAAACAGTTTAATGGGAAATGATAAGTCACAAGGAGTGGATGCATCTGCGCCACTGAGAACGATTTTGAGCCATGTCGCCAATTGTTTCCAACCATTGGTTTTTACCATCCCGAGGGCCCCAACCAGGAAGTCTACATCTTCCTACGTGGCTTAAGCTAACTGTTGTGGATTTCATTGATTGGTGCCATGTTTTGGTTTGACCGCGGCTAGCTCTTTTCCAGCCTGACCCTATATCAGCTAACATTGCCTGTCGAGGAAGGCGATGACTAGGCATACGTAGCACATGTCCTAACCATCTCAGTCGATGCAATTTCACAGTCTCGTCGATTGATTTCCCCGCCTTACCTAGCACTCGACGCCTAACCTCAATATTGCTCACCTTATTATTCCACTTCACGCGGGAGATAGAACGCAGACACCTATGATCGAAGACAGCTAATCTTTTCATGTCTTCTGCTCTCAATGGCCAGGTCTCACAGCCATAAAGGAGGACGGAGCGGACTGTTGAGCAGTACACACGCCCTTTGGTCGATAGTCGGATATCGCGTCTACGCCAGAGACGGCGAAAACTGGCGAATGCGAACCTAGCCCTCTGTATTCGTGCTGAAATTTCGTCGGAGATCAACCCGTTGGGGCTGATGGTACTTCCCAAGTAAGTGAAGCGGTCAACGTGTTCTACCACTTCACTTCCTATTTCTAATCTAGGGGTCGATGAAGTCCAATCCTGCAGCATCATCTTACATTTTATAGGGGCGAATCGCATGCCAAACATGCGGAGGTTGTTGCTCAGGGTGTTCAGTAGACTCTGCATTTTGTCAGAGTCCTCGCCTAGAAGGACTATATCGTCCGCATATTCTAAGTCAACGAGATTATTCCCTGGTAGCAAGTCAATCCCTGAGTCGCTGAAGTGAGTTAGGGTTAAGTCCATTAGTACATCTATGATGAAATTGAATAGGAATGGGGATAATGGGCATCCTTGACGGACGCCATTAGTCGTCACCACTTCAGATGACAACTCGCCATAAGCCCTCACCTGGCTGCATGAGTACGAGTAGAGTGCCTTAATCAGTGCAATGTATTTTCTTGGCATTCCCTTTACAGCCAAGCATCGCCAGAGAACCTCCCGGTCGACAGAATCGAATGCCGCCTTTAGGTCAAGAAATATAATGATTGTCGGACGCCGGTAGGAATGCCTATGTTCTAGAATCTGTCGAAGGGTGAAGATGTGATCAATACACCCTCTACCTGGCCTAAAACCTGCCTGGTTTTCTCGTGTTTGTGTCTCCCGAGCACCACTTAATCTACGCAGTATTATTGAGCCTAGGATTTTAGATACTATATTAGTCAAGCTAATCCCTCTGTGATTATCACAAGACGACTTGTCCCCCTTCTTGTATATCGGGATGATCAGTGACTTACACCAACCCGATGGGACTTCCTCTGATTCCCAGACGCTGCCTAGAACCTCCGTTAACGCAGACAGTAAACTGTCGCCTCCATACTTAAATACCTCTGGAGTCAATAAATCAGGTCCCGCTGCTTTGCCTAGCTTCAGATTGGTGACAGCTTTAGTAACCTCGGTTAAGGACGGAGGACCTGTGTCTATCTCCCATTCAGGGAGGTGTTGGATGTCCGGTAGGTTAAGTGTGGCTGTGGGCCAATTAAACTGCTCCTCATAGTGTTCTTTCCAGCGCTCCAGACGTCTATCCTGGGAGCTAATTATGGTGCCATTTTTCTCGGAGATTGTTTCGCTTATCATTTGTTTTTTACCACCTGTTTCCCTGATAAGCCTGAATAGTTGTCTGGTGTTGCCTATCGCTGATGCTTTTTCCATCTCTTTCGCCTACGGTGGTCTGTAACCGGCGATAAGTCACTAATATGGTACCAATCCAAGAAACCAGTTCATACAAACTGTGTGACCGGCCTCAAGCAGTTGTCCCCTGGGCTTTGAGGTCACTGAATACTAACCTTCTTTCTGTTCTAGGTACCCGAAGACTTAACCAACTTCCACGGTGTGGGCAGCTGGGAACTAACAACCGCCCACACACTTCCAAAATCACACGAAGACTACCTCACTCAGCATCATTCTCCTTTACCCACATCACCTTCATCAACTTTCTTCCCTACTATAGTCAGTACTATTCTTCAGGCTAGTGAGTCACCTTCACTTCACTCTGTGTCCCCAGAGAATAATCGCGGTGATTTAGAATATGCAGATGATATAGTCCTTCTAGGTGAGGACGCTGACAAAACCCAGCAGAGTCTTCTGAGCACCTTGAACTGCAATCTGAGAATGTTTGTCATGCTATTCACTCCCGCCAAACGTAAGATGATACTACAGGAGTGGACTACACTGACTCCTAGCTTAGAAGTAGGGAGTGAAGTGGTAGAGCGTGTTGACCACTTCACGTATTTGGGAAGTACCATCAGCGCCAACAGGTTGATCTCTGACGAAATCTCAGCACGAATACAGAGGGTTAGTTTCGCTTATGCCAGTTTACGCCATCTCTGGCGTAGACGTGATATCCGGCTATCGACCAAAGGGCGGGTGTACTGCTCATCAGTCCGCTCTGTCCTCCTTTATGGCTGTGAGACCTGGTCACTGAGAGTGGAAGACATGAAAAGGCTAACTGTCTTTGATCATAAGTACTTACTTTACTTTACTTCGGCTATCTCCTACGAGAGGATGAGCCGGGTTCATGAACATCTCAAATCATCGCTGCCCAGGCGCGGCGATCTGATGAAGAGAGTTCATGGAGTTTCATGGGAATTTGGTACGAGTGATGTCCCCAGAATCGCTCGGCCTTTTGTTTGAGAGTGCAGCTCTAGCCTTTACACAACCGAGTGTGACCTACAAGGCAGTAGGAGTGGAGTAGGGAGTCCACTATCCATTGGCAGCCGGTGACCGGAGTTCGGTTCATGCGCCTTTTTGAATGGGGCCAGACATCCAGGACATCCAACAAGCCCTTTGTCCATACGTCTGCCGGTGAGCTCCAGTGAGCTTCATACGCCAGTCGTTGGAGGTTTGGAATCAGGGTTTAGCCATCTCCCCTAGACTGTCATCCAATGGACAGTCAACCCGGTGAAGAGCGCTTGTGTTCTATCTCCCGTGTGAAGTGGTATAATAGGGTGAGCAATATTGAGGTTAGGCGACGAGTGCTAGGTAAGGAGGGGAAATCAATAGACAAGGCTGTGAAGCTACATCGACTGAGATGGTTAGGACATGTGTTACGTATGCCTAACTATCGCCTTCCTCTATGGACAATGTTAGCTGACATAGGGTCAGGTTGGAAAAGAGCCAGTGGTGGTCAAACCAAAACATGGCTTCATCAGTCAATGAAATCCACAGCAGTTAGTTTAAGGTAATCACGTAGGAAGATGTAGACTTCCTGGTTAGCGGCGTCTTCGGGACGTAAACACCAATGACTGGAGACAATTGGTGATATGGCTCAAAATCGTTCTCAATGGCTGGCGCAGATGCATCCACTCCTTGTGACTTATAATACCCAATAAAACTATATTGTTCTTCCACATTACTATTATTTTCGCCTCACATCTCTGTTTACTGTCTCCATTTTCATTTACTTTTACTTTCTTTTCTTGTTTTGTGTGCTACATGGCGAGAGTGTGGCGACTCAAACTGCTGGACATCAGTGCAAAGTTCTACGTTGAAACCAATTAGTCAGTCAGTCTATGATCCGAAATCAGAGCGCAAGGAAGCAGAAAAACAAAATCTTGCGCTTTGAAACGATCAAATCTAATGAAGGCAGGCAGGGTGACATTGAGGATTTCACTTCAGAAAAGTTAAAAACAAGTTTAGAGTTTTTTCCAAAAGAAAACAAGTGGGGATCAAGTAGTTTTACTTGCATATAGATTACAGGCACAGACACTAGGCTAAAAATCATTGCGGATATATCAATAATTTCAAGTGTGACTGTTTGAAAGGTAACAATGATATTAGCATTTCAAAGAAAAAAGCCCTTCCAGATGAACTGACCTCTAACGGTGCACCATTAACATGTAATTTAGATGAATTTTATCAATAAAAGGATGAATTAACTCTGGCGGTGGCCTAAGTTCTCCCAGTGGGTTATTTATTATCTTACCACATGTCAAACAATCAGAGACAAGCATGTGGTGAGATAATAAATAACCCACAGGGAGAACTTAGGGCACCGCTTACTACTGTCAAACCT